ACACGCCTCCACGCACACACGTGCACGCGTAAATAAAATAAAGCAGAGAGCAACTGAGGAAGAGCTCTGATGCTGACCCCTGGTGTCCACATGCATGCTTCCACATGTATGTATGTACACACATACACACGCGCACGTGCGTGCACACAGAGAGAGAGAGAGAAAGAGACAGAGACAGAGAGACAGAGAGACAACCATGGCAACTTGCTCATTCACCCAGGAGCCTTTTGAGCCGAAACTGGAAAATGCCTGGGCAAGCTGTCATGAGTTGGTTACCTTAGTCTTACGTCCTCCGTGAAGCAGAGAGGGTGACACTGAAGTGACAGGATCCACTGTGCAAAGGCAGTGCTTCACAGCTGTCAGGACCTCAGAGATGGAAGGAGTTTCTGCTAACAGACATTGCACGGAAGCCAGTGACAGCTCACTCTCCGTCTCCATGCCTATGCGGTGCGCAGAGGAGCCATCCCTCAGTGCCTGTGTGGACTGCAAGGTCCCCTTGTTCTCCCACTTTGGCATCTTTGGGGCCTGGTGTCCCAACATGACACGACCTCTGCCTTCTTCCAGGCCTCTTTGGCCCGCAAAGTAGAAACTGGAAACGGCCCGCACTGTCAGGTAAATGCTAACCGTCAAAGGTGAGGCCTCCGCAGGAGAGTGAGACGTGATTGGCAAGAAGGCTGCTGGGGTATCAAATCCACACAGCCTAGCATGGGGAGCGGTCGCCAACAGCTTTGATGGCGCCAGCTGGGGCAGTTATTTCCCTTTTGAAATCTGATAGACAGGACGTGAAGGGGCCTGGGGTCTGCATGGAAGTCGAGAGGAAATGCCACCGTCGCCAGGTCTGGCCTGTGTCCAGTGTGGCTGGCAGTGTCATGCCCATTCCTGTGGTCAGACACTGATGTGAAGTCCTTGGTGGCCTTGTAAGCAACCATGAGTGGAGTTCAGCCTGGCCCTTCTTGATGGTAGGAATACGTGCCAGCGCTGGGGTGATATGCTTTAAGTGGCCGGGCAGAAAAGGTGCCTATATCCTGGGGCATATGGAATCGGGTGGGGGAACATACAAATATAGAGACCACCGAGGGGGACACATGTAGCTGAGGATGCTCTGTCCTCTGCCCCTCTTTCCTAGAAAAGCCAGGTTTGGGAAATGCATTACTTTTATTTGTATACATGTGCATGCTCATACGTGCTTGGCCACACATGTATGTGTGCGTATGTGTGCATGTGTGTGGAGAACAGAGATGACAAAGAGGATATAAGTAGTTTTTTCCTCCTACCCATAATATGGGAGTCAGGAGTTCAGAGGAGCTAAAGGAATCTTCCAGAATATTGGAAGGCCCCTTGGCTTTTCCATGAGGAACGTGAGTTCCAGGGAGCCCCACTGATAGTACTTGGGTTGCCTGTCTGAGAATGCCAGTGTGTGCATGCCAATGTGGCTGGCAGAAGGCAGCTGGTACTGAGGGACAGGATGCCAAGGGCCAGACGTGCTCCCAGATGACGTGAACACTAAGCGTCCACCTGGATCTTCCCAAGACCAGTGCAAGAAGACAGAGCAAGGCCTGGGCTCAGGTCATTGCGGCTATTACTTATCTTTTCTCTTTCTGTGAGCAATGCCTGAAAAAGTGACTTAGAGGAGGAAGGGTCTGAGTTGCTCATGGTTGAGGGTTTAGTCCATCATGGTGGGGGGAAGGGATGGCGGCAGGGTCACTCAGGTCTGTGGTAACAGGAACCGGAAGCTGCTGGCTCACAGCCCGGCAGACCAAGAGGAGATAAGGGTGTTTGTGCTCAGCTGGCTCCTCATTTGGGGACCCACGCCCATGGGATGGGTCTTCCCTTATGTGTATGGATCTTCTGAAACTCGGCTAATCCTGGTTAGACACACCCAAACAGAGACACTCAGGGTGTGCCATCACTGACACCCGGGCATGCTTGATCTCCTCAGGCCTATCGTAACTCAGTGTGTAGTTTGAACACCCAGCAAGTGGAGAGGGAGGCCAGCTCACCCATCCTGCTCGTGGACCATTCGTTGCTTCAAGCACCCACCATGAGCCAGGCACAGAGCTGAGAATTACACCCAGCAGCTGGTACAGAAGAAGAGGCCCTCCCACCCCACAGCCTCTGTCTGCAGCCATCCAGACAAATGTCCTCGTGGGAACCACATGGAAGTTGTCTGAAGCCCAGGGTCCCACAGTGTCAGCTGCAGCCGTCCCACCTGCTGTTGCGGACACTATAGCGATAGGTACGATGGTGGCTTTCAAATACCTGAGCAGCTGGTGGCCCAGGGCCTGGCCTGTGGCTCCCTGGATCCCAGGCACCAGGCCCAGGGATCAGCTCTCCCCACTCTGACCTTCATGGCCTCAAAGCCAGAGCTGGCTCCTGGCCGTTTGATGCTGTACCCAGAGAGCTCCAGGCCTGAGGACATCACAGGGTCAGCTGTGGAGTCTGATGTCCTCTCCACTCCTCGTTGGCTGTCTTTCCTCCTAACTTCCTGAAGGAACCTCAGGCCTCCTCCACCACACTTCCTCCCTCTCTCTCACTTTCCCTGAAAATGGTCCAGAAGAGTCTCAGGCCGGGGTGGAGTCCAGAGCAGGGCAGACTGGAGGCTCAACAATGTGTAAGGACCAGGAAACCAGTTGCCTACATCCTCTCTCCCCAGCACCCAGACTCCCCATACACACTAGCACTGAGAGCTCCCTCTGTCTCCTGCATGAGGCCAAACTGCCTCCTCCAGGATGCCCACCAGGCTGACCTCTGGAGCCAGTCTCTTAGGCAGTAAGCCGGCCACCTGTGTCTTACTGTATTCTGATCATGTGTTCATCCCATGCATTCTGTGACCCAGTCCCATTAGAATGAAGTTGGTGCCTTCCCCATTAGATATGGGTCCCCCAAAGAAGACTCTTGTCCCTCCATGGGTTTCTTGGAGCTAAGGGTGAATCCCTTCTTCGTACCTGTTTCCTCCGAGGGAGGGATATCGTTCCTATTCCCTGTCTTGAGAGACACTGGACAAGGAACTATTGATTCCGTGCTCCTGGGGTTCATGGCTGCACAGCTGAGGGACCCAGGAGGGCCTAGGCTTTGCAAAACTGAAGGAGCAGAGAGACCTTTTGTGATGTGGTGAATTGAGACCCCTCAGTGTCTCTCCCTAGAGAGCTATAATCTGCTTCCTGACTGAGGTTCTGGCTGGCCCTGGAACTGGCCAAACCTCACTCAGCCTTCAAGGACAGCACCCAGGCTTCTGATATACACACAGGAATCTGTTAAGCTGTCTGCTGGAGGCCGACAGGGGACAGGGCTGAGCCACTGCTGATGTCCCTGTAAGGCTGGCCTGGGTTAGCCAACAGTCAGCCAGCCAACCAGCCGAGACATGTGAGCAAGCACAGCTGCCCCGGCATCCCCCCAGATGGGTGAGCACAAAGCACCCATTGCTATTGCTGCCTGCCTAGGAGGCTCCTCAGGCATCTGCTGCACAGCATCACCATGGCAACGGATAATGACACATGGGTGGTCAAGAATCTGGGTTCTAGAGCCCAGCTGCCTGAGATGAGGCTCCTGGCTCCCTTTGAAATGGGTTGTGTGACTTGGAACAACTAACTTAGCCTCTCTGAGCTTCAATCTCCTCTGCTGTCCAATAGGAATAGCAACGGACACCAAGCAAGGTGTTGCGAGCATTGAATGATCTGGGTCACATCAACTTCTTGGAATAGTAGGACCTGGCACACAGCCAGTGGTCAGCAGCATTGACTAATAATACCACGGTACTGTAGAACCCGTGAGACACAGCAGGGTTGTCTCCACGAGGGCTGCATAGCCTTTAAGAAAGAGACTCCCTCCCCAAGTCAGGCTCCATGAAATCCTTAATGTTCTGTCTTCCTTCCAGCTCCAAATCCCTCGCTCAGTCTAGAACCCTGCTACAAGAAATGCCAGAGAAGGTCTAGGTCTTGGACACAGCTGATTGACCAAGAGGCCTCCTCCCTGTCTGCTGTTCTCCAAGCTTTAGGAAGAGGCAGTTTGCCGGGGAAACTTCTGTTTTGAGCTCCCTGACTGTGTGGATCTGGTGCCAAAACCAAAAATCTGTCTGAAGAGTGAAAGATTCGGTCAGCAGTGTGTGTGGGGATGGGGGTGAGGGCAGCCAAGCCTGCGTATGGCAAGCAAGATGGACACCCTCGCCTCCAACTGCAGGGAAACTGACAGGGAAGTGGGCAGCTGTGAACAACACTAACCTTGAGCTTGGAAACTCCGTGTGTGTGAGAGGGGTTAGGACTACACTTGCGGGGGAGAGATGGGGGGAGGAAGCTGCAGGAAGGCGAGACTCTTCCTAGACATCATCAGATGCCAGTTGACACCCACATCTGGAACTCAGGCTGTATCCTGAGTGGGGAACACACACACACACACACACACACACACACACACACACACACACACACACACACACACACACGGTGGAGGACTCACTCCATAATCGCCCACACTAATATCTCTGCAGCTAAGCATCTGGACCGCCTCTTAAGTGAGATAAATAGAGACTATGAGAACCCTCCTGTCACCAGGCTGGGCTGACATCAAGTGTACCAAACGAGGCTCAGTTTGCCACCAGATACACTCCTCTCACCCAACCTTCTCCCTAACACTCTGCTTTCCAGTGTTTAGACCTTTTGGGGTTTCCAGGTTGCAGGAAAGGGTTCAGGTTGACAACAATAGAGGATTTTGACGCATGTCGGCAGTGAAGCACATTTGCTGGCATTCACAAGACATCTGTCACAGGGGAGCTGCTGCTCAGAGGCTGGGTTGACAGCTGCCCCCACCCTCCAGCAGAAGAGGGGAAAGCCGGGCAGTGTGTCACAGCTGATCGGAGAGAGGTATAGAGGAGGCAGGCTACCCTCAGAACCCTCCAGAACCCAGGGCCTCTCCAGAGATGGTTTCAGTTTACAGGTTCCCCCTGCACGGAGACACCTGTTGCAGAGCTTCCATTCGTCTCCGGAATAAAAATGTCCAGGTCCACAGACTTCTGACTCTCTTCCCAGGTGTCACCTATCTTCCTGTCCTGTCAAGTTATCCAAGGAAGATTCTGCTCATGTGCTCTCTGCCCATTTCACAGCTGGAAAAACCAAGGTATGGTCCACAACACCCAACAGCAACATGGTACACGTGCTCCCCACAACACGAATGCTAGCTGGACACTTTCTGTGTGCTGGTGGGGTTTATGTCTTTCTGTGTGCTGGTGGGGTTTATGTCTTTCTGTGTGCTGGTGGGGTTTATGTAGGAGCAGGCCTACCACAGTTGGTTCATAAATACTTCTTTCTTGCTTGTGGGTCTCAACACGACACTGGAGGGAAGCGGGGATGGATATCCCACTGGAGATGCTAGGAGAAGGGAAATGGACCATCCCCTTAGAAGGGAGGGAGGGACCCCCAGTTCTCAGAATTTAAGATAACGAGCAGGGAAAACAATCACTTTATTTAAATGTGTGAAGGAATGATTTGTCCTCTCTGTGTGAGAGGAAGCAGTTAAGGGGTTTATTTTATTTTGGGTCCTAATAATATTACAATCTCCAGGCTGGTTATTATCCGTCACTTTTCAGGGAAGATTGAAAAGAAAATAGTTTCATCCCCAGCAATTGTGAACCGCTCTGTCTGATGAGTTGTTGTTCCCACTTAGATATTACACGCAGCCCATCAGGTGACCTGCCCGGCTGGGTGGCTTTGTTTAACTGGGGAAGAGGAGACAGAGAAGAGGGAATGTGCTGGAGTCATGGAGGATGGGCAGACAGTGAGAGCTGAGAGTTCCCTGGCTTTTGTGGCGAGCTGAGAAGTCAGTCTGGCTGGGCAGGCCTCAAGGGCACCGGAACCTACACTATTAAATTAATTTTTAAAATCGTGTGTGTGTGTGTGTGTGTGTGTGTGTGTGTGTTGACCTATTCAGTAGCAAAACTGACTGGACCTGGGTTGAAAACCCAGCAATATTTCAGCAGGGGGAAAAAATCATTTTATTGTACACCTACTATGTGCTAAGCATGCCCACCAGGCCATTCTCCTGAAGTCCTCAGAATGACTTTCTGTCTAAATTATTTCAGTTTTAAGGATGAGGAAACCAAAACTCAAAGAGAGGCCCCACCAGAGAGGCAATATCCTAGCAGCTCTCCTTAGCCAAAACTGGAGTGGGGACAGACACTAGCTGGTGGCTCCTCCTTAGGGGTGGGGTCAGTGTGGCTCCTGGGCCCTCATCACCTGGTGGGGCCTGAACCGGGAATGTGGCTCAGCGTCGGTGGGTGCTCTTGTCTAGTGTGTGCAAGGTCCTGGGTTCTTAGGTCCCCTGAGTCAGACTCTCTGGAGGGAAGTTCTTGGATGTTCTTTTTTAAAATCCCCTTTAGATTTAATTATTTTATGTGCATTAATGTTTTGCCTGCACATGTGTCTGTGTGAGGATGTCAGATCATTTGGAACTGGAGTTACAGACAGGTGTGAGCTGCTAGGTGGGTACTGGGAATTGAACCTGGGTCCTGTGGAAGAGCAGACAGTGCTCTTAACCCCTGAGCCATCTCCCCAGCCCTCAGGATAACAGGTCTTCTGGGGTGACTTTTAGAAGTACTGAAGTTGGAGCGGCTGCACTAAGACAGCTCTGGATGTTTCCTGGGGGGCTCAGCAGCCACCCCACCTGGTGGTCTTCACTCCCCCTCCTTTGTCTGGTATACACCCCACAGCTATCCCTGGATCACATCCAGAACAAATTGATGATGCCCAGGTCTCTGTCTCAGATCAGCATCTTCATGAGACGCCCAGCTTCAGACGGGCGCACCCCAGCCCTTCCTGTCACAGGAGAGGGACCCTGGGATGATTCTATTGACAGTTCCTCCCCTCTCCTTCTCTCCCTCTTCCTCCCCTCCCTCCTCCCTGTTTCTCCTCTTTACATCTCTCCCTTCTCCTTCTCCCTCTCCTTCCCTCATCCTTCTCCTCCCTCCTCATTCCTCTTCTCTCCCTCCTCCCCACCCTCCTCACTACTCCTCCCCACACCTTCCTCCCCTCCCTAACTCTTCATCCTCTTCTTCCTGTGCTACTTCTGACATCTAAGAGGTGTGCCTTCCCAGCCAGCCACCCTGCTGCCTCGCGTGTCACCTGATATGATTGCCCAGGATCGCCAGAAGCGCTTGTGATTCTCATGGGTTTGGTGAGGAGCAGACACGGGTCTGGAGGGTGGATGGGATGAGGTCAGGCAGCAGCGGGGGCTCACACTGTGCTACAGCCAGTGGGTCTGCACGTGCGGCTTAGGATGTGGCACTGGCGTATGTCAGGCTGCTCTCGTCCTCAGTGCAAAGGACCTCATGGAGTCCTCAGCCCTGATACCTCCCTCACACAGGTGGACGGGATCATTGACCAAGGCCAGAATGGGTCTCCATGGTGACCATGCCATAGTTTTGAGGACGATGGCCATCTTGCCAGCATCCCTGGGTCTCTTGGATCCTGTCTAGTCTTGGGCCTCTGGACTGGCCACCTGCCCATTCCTTTGTTGCCAACAGGAAGTCCTCTGAAGATTTATTCCTGAGGTCCCTCTGTGCCCATGCTGGGCCTCTGTCCATCTGCTTTGCTCCTTCAGCCCCAGTAGGAAAGGCTATCATGGCTCAGAATGCTCTGTGGGCCAGATACCCAGCTATCACTGATGGGGGAGCTGTTCTTACAGCATCAAAAAAGGAAGGAAACTGAGGCTCAGAGATGGAAGGGTCTGGGCAATCACACACACACACACACACACACACACACACACACACACACACACACACACACACACACACAGTGCCAGTCCCTCACAAGTCTGTCAATGAGGGACACAGGGCAACTGGAATGCACGAGGTTCTGGGGAGGGTGAAGGACACTCACAAGAAAACTGTCACCAAGGGATGAGTGGGCATCGTGTCCTGGCCCTCTCTGCTCTTCACTGTCATCACAGAGGAGCAAGGTTTTGAACACCCCTACTCCTGTGCCACGGTCCTGGGACGGGGTCAGCTACCAGTTTCTTGCATTTGGCACCTACTGTGTTTTTTGCTGTTCACTGTGAAGTTGGCAGCTCCTTTCTCTGACCCTGACACCATGGGGTGGGTGTGGACCTGCTCCTTTTACAGTTGGAGAGGCAGCAGCTCAGAGTGACTACACTCAACACTTAAGGTGCCCACCTCCCCAGGCCGGCTGGCCCCAAGCACATGCTCTCTGCAGTATACTAATGTCGGATCCCATCCCCGGGCCTCCAGGCAATCTGGCAGGCACCCAACCTGGGGTGATCTTTTCCCTTTTTGCTCTCTTACTTATTCACCCAGAGGCTCAGCAGCCACAGCCCTTTCCCTTTCTTTCAATATTTATCAGTGTTTTAGCTGCTGTCAAAGGGACCCAGCAGAGGTAGAGGGGAGGCAGGACTGAGGAAGCTGGGCCTACCTGGCTCCTTGCATGCTCTGTCAGCTGGGAAGTCAGGAGCACCTTATCTCCTGCTGCTGCAGGACCTGTCCCTGGAAACCAGGAGGCTATGGCAGAGAGATCGTGGTGAGCTACCGATTTGGTACATCCCACGCACCTACATGCGGTGGAGCTCGTCTCTCATGGATGGGTTCTGCTCTAGGGCTGAGAAGACACACGCACAGGCTCTAGGACACAGCCCAGTCTGAGCTACGCTAGGCTCTACACTTCCCTCGTGGAAGAGAGGTCTGCTTGAAGGGTCTTACACAGGACCCTTTATTTTCAATGTGGGGAAACTGAGGCTCTGGTGGGCTTCCCTTTTCCCAAACTTGTGCCCCCTTCATCCTCCCTGGCTTTGCCCAAAGCACCAGTGGCCAAGGTCAAGGCCACCGGAAACCCTGAAGCTAGACATCACCTCACCTGTCATGCTCATTGTGCCTACCCTCCTGCCTCTGTGGCACTGCATCCCTCGCTTAACCAAGACCTGTAACAGCAGCCCTGAGGCAGGAGGAGTGCATTGAGATCAGGACTAGCCTGGGCTACAGAATGAAAAAAGAAAACGGAACAAAAATCAAGTGGGATTGTGAAGGGTGGTGGGAGGGCGGATAGAAATCCCAGCCACAGGCTTTCTCCCTAGCCCAGTCCAGTTCCTTTCACTTTCAAGGGAGCAGGAGGGAAGCAGTGGGGGGTAGGTGGGGCGTTGTACAGACGGGAAGTCTGGGGAAGGAGAGCGGCTGAGCCCAGTACCAGACAAAGAAAGAGAGGACACCCCCAAAGAAGGATACACCCTCTCGGATGCTCTCTGTTGTCACCTGTGATCCACAGTAAGCACCTCTGGGTGGTGTCATCTGGGACTGGCACATAGTAGGCACTCAGAAAAAAGGTCTTTGCCACAGAGTGGATCAATATTCGGTGTTTGCTGATGGGAACTGAGCTGTTAGTCAAGACATCAGGGGAGCGGAGTCAGCTGGTTTCAGCTCCAACCAGGACTTGACATTGGAGATTCAGAAACCTCTGCTGTCTCCACCAAACCCCAGGGACAACGCCTGTTGCCTGTCCTAGTCGCCAATACTGCAATACTGTGTTCCAAGGCCGTGACTACGGGATTGTGTTTTATCTCTACATAAAACGAAAGGCACTGTCATTCCAAGGGCTTTTCTATGCTTTTTTTTTTCTTGTGCAGTTGCTCCATGGGAAGTCCCTCCTTAGCTCTGGCTTTCATCTCTCCTGCTGTGGTTTGGTGAAGGGGGTTACATTCCACAAGGCGCAGGCAAAGGCATCCCAGATGAGAATGTCACTACTGGTCACAAGGAGTGCGGAGATTAAAAATAATATGTATGACTTCCTTAAAAAAAAAAAGAACTCCTTCCACTTTCAACGGCTGTTCAGAATCAACAGTATAATTTGCTTGACTGCCCTGGCCCATCAGCTTATCACCAAGGGCCTGGAAACTCCAAGAGGGGAGGATTATGCAAATAGAAAATCAGCTTTCAAGAAAGTGGGCTAATCCAATATTACCAAGAGCAGAGAGAAGCCACTGAGACGGGAGCTGCGGAGGCAGCTAGCAAGCCCTTTCCTGGCAGGAACCAGAGCACGGGAGCCAAGGGGGAGGGTGGCTGTGCTGGTACCCAAGCTGCATCTAGAAAAGGGGAACTGACTTCTGTCTCCCCGGTATTCTGAGAGGTCGGGGGGAGCAGGGGTTTGACTGGCTTTGTTGAAGTCTTTAGGAAGTTAATGTTTTGCTGGGATGGTCTCTCTTTCCCAGGAGCCTGGCAGACAGAGGGGAAGGAAAGGACTGGAGGCCAGCGAAAAGAATCTTGGCGAGTTTCCACAATGGACAGGCCAACGGGACTGCCCAGCAGGATGGACAGTGCTTAGGAGGTCCCCTGGAAGGAGCCCAGAACACTGACTGGTGGTGTCTGCATCAGGCTGCTCTTTTGTGACTGCTAAGAGTGGGAAGAGCCATGGACAGCCCTCGAGCCCCTCTGCTGGTATTACAGGCAGTGTCCACACCCAGCTTCTTACGGCCAGGGATCGAAACACAGCCCCTCATGGTGGCATAACAAGCACTTGACCAATGGAGCTATCTTCCCAGCCCTCCATCCACTTCTCTGCGGAAAGAAGGACTGGGGACCGCAAGTACAGGTCTGGGCAGAACCTGGCTTGTTACTTTCCCTGGGATCACCACGCGTCACCGAGGTTTCAAGGCTGATTAATGGAGTGAGCTAAGACCTCAGTGTCTAGAAAGTTCTAGCTGTGGTGCTAAGGGCATAGTGGAAGGAGCCATGCTAAAAATAGGTGCTCGACAGTTTCATAGATGCATGCATGTGTGGGTAAAGGGATGAGTGGGTGGATGGATAGATGCGTCTATGTATGCGTGGGCAGATGAGTGGATAAATGGTGGACGGATGGATGGTTAGAAAAGGGTTGGCAGATAGATGGGGGAGTGGATGGATGAGGCATGGGTGTGTAGGAAGACGGATGAATGGGTGAGTAGATGGATGGATATGTAGGAAGATAGATGGAGGGTGGGCCAGTGAATGGGTGGATGAATGAAATAATACATAGAAGATTAGATGGGAGGATGGATGAATATGTGGGTGAATAAATAAATGGATATGTGGCTTGGGTGAATATATAGAAGGATGGATGGGCAGATGGGTGAATAGATAAACAGGTAAGTAGAAGAACTGATAGGCAGGTGGATGGTTGACTGGATGGAGAGACACATATCTGAGTGACCATTGCTCTAATGGAGTTTAGACACAGATAGTCTCTTCACAAGATTCTAGAATGAAGTGGCACACATATCTGAGTGACCACTGCTCTAATGGAGTTTAGACACAGATAGTCTCTTCACAAGATTCTAGAATGAAGTGGCACACATATCTGAGTGACCATTGCTCTAATGGAGTTTAGACACAGATAGTCTCTTCACAAGATTCTAGAATGAAGTGGCACCATGACTGACACCTTGCTGGACCATCTATATCCAAACATGATGCAGGCAGCAGCCTAGATGATGGTCAGTGAGGGATCCTCACACCATTAATGAAATCATCCTTTGTAAGGGATATCATTTTAATGACAGCTATTAGAATAGGAAGTATGGAGATAGCCAATAAGAGACAGGTGTAGGCCAGGCCAGTCTCAGTGTGTGGGGGGCTATCTCTGATGCCTGAGTGGACAGATGGAGATGTTCTCAGGGAAGTCAGAAGGACCAGTGATCTTTGAGTGCAGTCTGCCTTGCAAATGCGCCGCTCCCGAATCCTCCCTCCTCCTCTCCCCACCTTTTAGCCTTGGAATTGAGAGAAGAAACCTTGAGACCACCTGCATGACTTCAGCAGTAGCCATAAGACTGGCTGGTTGACTTGACCTGGGCCTCAGTTTCCCCATCTACAGAATCATGACAACAGAGTCATGGGCACATGGGAGAGTGTCTTCTGCTCTAGTTAGAGACCAAAAGGAGGCAAGCCCCTGGAGACCACCCATACAGTCCCCGCTGGAGTAAGCAGAGATGGGGATGTTGGGGGCTTTCATTACCCAAGTCTCTCCTCCAGACCAAATGTGGGTAATAAAGTCATGTTGAACTGCCTGCCTCTTTAATTGGTACTTTGGCAAAGGTTAGATTCCCTGTGAAGCATTAGAAGGCTTTAACATTCTCTTTATTGAGCTGCCTCTGAGTGCCCATGGATAACAACAGGGCAGTAGGGTCCAGCCTACAGCTCCCTGAGCAGGGCCGCAGAGCTGGGCAGGGCCCACACTGTTTCTGAGGGTCCATGAGCTATTGCCAGAGTCCTGGAACCTGGCTCTGTTTCCAAGGACAGATCTCTCTCTCCCACACCCACTCGGTTTGATTGAGAACAAACATTAGAAGCCTCTGCCTCTTCTGAGACAGGATCTTGATATGTAGTGTAGGCTGGCTTTGGGCTTGAGATCCTCCTGCCTCGGCCTCCAGAGTGCTGGGATTGTGGGTGTGTACCACCACACTCACCAGTGCCGCCAGGGAGAATGTGGCTGGTCAAGTGATTTGGGGAAGCTTGGCTTTCCTGTGGCCCCTGGGGTCCCTGGCTAAGGGTTCAAGGGTGTTTAGCTACACCCAGGCCTTACTCCTGCACAGCGGAGGGTGGCATGGGAGAGGAGTCCTCTTGATGATGGCTTGTACTTCTTATACTCATCCTGATTCATGAAGGATTTGACCGGAGAGCAGAGTAGAAGCCAGGAGACCACTTGCCTGGCTCTGGTGGCACCAGGCAGGGCAGAAAGAGCTGGACTGTGACAACGGTGGCACTGGGGCAGAGGGTGGTTTTCAAGCTTAAAGCTGACACACGAGAAGCCTAGTTCGTGGGATCCAGAATACGCTGAACCACCTTAGGACACAGGGTGTGAGGGGCTGGGCTGCAAAGGGGCTCAGTTTCCCGTTTCCGGGCCCATTATTGAGAATTTCCCAGTGTCCACTCTGAGCTTTCCCTCTAGCTTCAGCACGTCCTTGTCACAACAACATGGGGCTGGCACCCTCAGCCTCTTCTGGAAGAGAAGACTGGAGTTCAGGGAGAGAGGAAATGAGAAGATAAGGAGGCAAGATGAGGAGGTGGTCAAAGTAGATGAGACCCCATGATGGCCGCAGGACCCAGCGCCCTCTTCCCCTTCCCTCAGGTCTCAGCAGATGACACCGGGGAGTCACTTTACCCTCAGCAGTTTCCCCAGATGTCTGCACCCTTGGTCTTTCTGGTGAAGGAGAAATTTGAAATTTATACAATGCATGGGAGGCACACGAGACACCCAGACTCTGCCCCTGCTTAGACACGGACCACCTCTACAGCAGTGACAAGCCCATGTCACCTCTGGGGTACTCCTTCCCCTGATAAATGCACAGTGAGGACATGAACACCTCTAGAGACCACTCCAGCACCACACTCCAGGGGTTATGACTGCCACATTTGAAAACCTTGTTGGGAGAACGTCTCTGCCTACTGACTTCACAGAGGAAGAGAAAAGCCATTTGGGGAAATTTGACCTCATCCTACAAAAGAAGAGGACAATATCCCCATTGTGAGGAATTACTATAATAAGAGTTCAGTGGAGTGGAGCTTCCCAGTTAAGCATAGCAGCAGGTGTCCAATGACACTGAACATCTGTCTGCCTCTCCACTGCCACCAGTCACACGCAGTCACCATCATCCTGGAGTCCATAGGATCCTCCGAACCTTCCTCCCCACATCCGCCTCTGACCTCATCTCGGATGGTGCTCTGAGCTCACCAAATCCCACTGTACTAGCTTCTACCCGAGCAACTGGGAAAAACTGTATTTCTCAGCCTCCCTTGCAGCTACTGCCAAATTCTGGCCAATTGAATACAAGCATCTGTTTCTGGAACCACAAAGCAGAATGTGACTCTTATATTTGTGTAACACCTTTTCAGATGGTCTCCATACACATTGAAAGGGAAGATACACTAGTTGGTTGGTGTCTTTTTTATTATTAATTTATTTTTTCATTCCAATCCCAGTTCCCCCTCCCTACTCTCCTCTGGCTCCCCCTTCTCTCCCCCACCCCCCATCTGCTTCTCAGAGAGGGTAATGCCTCCCCTAGGAAGTCTACTAAGTCTGTCCCATCATCTCGTTGAGGCAGGACAAAGGCACCTCTCCTACCCCACCCCTACTTCTGTGTCTATATTGAGCCAGGAATCTCTCCACATAGAATGGGCTCCACTAAGTCAGTCTGTGCATTCCAGTGACCTCATATATTGTCCCAGCTGCACCACTGTCACCTATATTAAGTCTAGTTCAGTCTTATGCAGGTTCCCCATTTATTATGTGGTGTCTTAGTTATGGTTTCTATTACTATGATGAAACACCATGGCCATAAATAACTTAGGAAGAAAGGGTTTATTTTAGTTTATAACTATCAGGTCATACTCTATTACTGAGGGAAGTCAGGGCAGGCACACAAGGCTGAGGTGGGGACTGAGCAGAGGCCATGGACTGGCTTGCTCCTCATGGCTTGCCCAGCCTGATTTCTTACAGCACCCAGGACTACCAGGCCAAGAGTGGCACCACCCACAGTAAGCTGGGCCCATGTCAATCATTAATACAAATAAAAATGCCCCTGAGGCCAATCTGGTGGAAGCATTTTCTCAAGTGAGGTTTCATCTTCCAAAACTACTCTAACGGGTGTCAAGTTGAAATAAAAACTAGATAGCACAGATGGAACGAGCTGGGATCTCAGAGCCGCCTCATTGAGGACAGCCACAACTCTGATTTTGTCAATGAGAAGTAAATATTACACCCTGCCGCAGAGCTTGGGCCTGTTTTGTTAATGTGGCACTGCCTTTGCTATCCTGACTCACATTCCCTCGTTGTCCAGGCTCTGCGCCACGGCCAGAGAATTCCTTTGGAAACTTACGTTAGAGCCTATATAATTCTTCAGCACAGGGACTGGGGGATGACTCAGTCCATGAAGTGCTTGCTGAACAACCATGGGAGCCTGTGTTCAGATCCCCAGCACCCACATAAATGATGAGAACAGTGGTGCCTGTCTGCAACCTAGCACTGGGATAATGAAGGGACAGGAAGAGCCAGGTTCCCTGGCAGCCGGTCTAGCTGGATTGGTGAGTTCTGGGCTAAGTGGAGATCTGTAGAGGAAGACACTTGACATTTGGCTTGCGTGCGCGCGCGCACGCGCACACACACACACGCACACACACACACACACACACGCATACACATGAAAGTGGAGGTCCACAAAGGAAGACAACATATGACCTTTGGCCTATGTACTCACACACATGCATGTACACACCAAGCATATACATAAACACATGCACACACATTACAAACCTCTCCAGGAAATCCCAAGTCCCACTGTGCGGAGGATGAACTGTATCAGGCCTGCTGTGAGACAGCCATGGCTCTTCTTTGGCTTAAACTCTTTATCCCTTGTCCCATTGCGTTCCAGTCCCATGGTTTGAATTCGACGGCATGACCAAGCTCTTTCTTGGTGAGGTGGTACCTCCGCCTGGTATGTTCTCTGCCATTGTTAGTCTCAGTTGTCAATTCGATGACCTCTAGGAGGGTTTGGGAGATGGCCCCCTGAGCAAGCCTATGTGGATTATCCTCACTAGGTTAACTCACCCACTGTGGGTGGCGCCATTCCCTATCTGGGGTCCTGGACTGTGTAAGGGGAAAGGAACTGAACAGCAACAGTGATATGCATTCATCCCCGTGTCCTGGGATGTGGATTTAATGTGACCACAGTTCCACACTCCTGCTTCCTGGGATGTGGATTTAATGTGACCACTGTCCACACTCCTGCTGCTAAGGCTTCCCCACCATAATGGACTGTACTCAACTGTGGGAGGGATTAAACCCTTTCTCCTTTAAGTTGCTTTTGTCAGAATGTTTTATCAGAGCAACAGGGCACTCTCCTCCTTATCATACAGTCCATTGTCAATGTCACTTTCTAGGCTGCCTCTTTGCTGGCCCGCCATCTAATGAGCACTAGCTATTCCCCAACACACCATCCTCAATTATCTGCACCGCACTTATCACCGCCTGCTATTTTCTTGCTAATTACTTAATTAATGGTCTGTCTCCTTACCCCACTAGAGGAGGGATTTTGTTTGTCTTATCACAATTATATTCTGGTCCTAGAATAGTTCCTGGCATGTGGACACATTAGGCATGCTATAGACAAGGAGCGTTAACTTCTCTCCCTCCGTGAAGTTGGGTACCAGAACCAGAGGACACAGGGCCCCACAGAATCCCAAACCAGCATCGGCAGAGATTATATTTCAGCCAGCTGTCACTGGCTTTGCAGCCATCTTTTTTGCTTTATAAAGGAACTAAAAGAAAATTCTTCATGTGTGTGTGTGTGTGTGTGTGTGTGTGTGTGTGTGTGTGTAGCTCAGAGGACAACTTTGACTGTGGTTTTCAGGAACTGTCCATCTCCTTTGGAAAGAGTCTTATCGGTGAGCCTAGAACTCACTAATTAGGCTAGACTGGCTGGCATTGAACCCCATGGATTCTTCCATCTCTGCCTCTCCAGTTCTGAGAATTTTTTTTAGCTTTACGAGACAGGGTTTCTCTGTATTGTTTTGGAGGCTGTCGGTCCAGCCTGGCCTCGAACTCACAGAGATCCGCCTGTCTCTGCCTCCCGAGTGCTGGGATTAAAGGCGTGCGCCACCAACGCCCGGCTCAGTTCTGAGATTTTTACGTGGGTTATGGGAATCTAACTTAGGTCCCTGTGCTTGTCAGGCAAGCACTTAATAGTGACTGTCAACTTGACAGAATCTAGAATCATTAAAAAGACAAGCCTCTGGGCATGGCTTTGAGGAAGCTTCTAGACTAAGTTAACTGAGGGGGGAGATCCATCTTGATGTAGGCCATACCATCCCATGGATTGAATAAAATGGAAAAAGTGAGCTGAGCACCAGCCTCCATCTCTGCTTCCTGAATGTGGATGCCATGTGACCAGCTGCCTCAAGCTCCTGCTGCCTTGCCTTTCCTGTCATACTGCGTCCTTGAACTGTTGAGCCACAGTGAACCTTCCTTCAGTATGCTGCTTTTGCAACAGAACAAGAGACTGATGTGCCGCCG